TACTCTACTCTACTCTACTCTACTCTACTCTACTCTACTCTACTCTATTCTGTTGCTTTGCATATACACAGAGGGCTTCTGCACCGGATAAAAAATTCCTTGTGTGTCAAATAGCACTTGGCCAAATAAAATATTTAATTCAATTCAATTCCCTTACCGGCACTGACCGTGACGGCGCTCACGAACTGCTCTCGCCAACTGCTGCTTCCCACCACAAGTGCTAAGTTGGTTTTCTTGATCAGTTTGTCCACAGTGCTCTGGAGGAGAAGAGGTTGGGGAGAGGTGAAAAGGGGGTGGGGGGTTCTTGAGGGCTCCCCTTCCCCTTCCCCCTCACCCTCCCCCTCCCTTCCATTAGCGATTGTTTTGCTTTCAATGTTGCCGCTGAGCACAGCAATCACGTCATGGAAGAAAAAAGAATTATTTTGTTTTTAAAAAATACAGGGAGTCCTTGGTTTATGGCCACAATTGAGCTCAATATTTCTGCAGTTAAGTGAGACAGTTCTAAAGAGGGAAGGATGGAGAGAGAGAGAGAGAGAGAGAGGGAAAGAGAGAGAGAGAGAGAGAGAGAGTCACTTATTACCTTGAACTCGTAAGATTCCTCAATGATAACTTCAAGTTTGGAGTTTTCTCCCAAACTGGGGTATCCCATTTTGGCAATTTTTTCCTGCTCCCCTGCAGGAAGCTGATTCTCATTGGTGTCACCTAGGATTGGATGAGGAAAAAGAGATCGGCATTGTAAAGGCCTAAGAGAAAGACCTTGAGCAACGGAGGAAAAATATACTGTTTAGGGAATTGGATAGATAAGAGCCCACGTGGCCCTCAGCTACACAACGGGTAGAGAGAAAGTAGACTCTCTCTAACTTCTCCCGATTTAAGGGAAAACTGCATGGGGAATTTCTTCCTTTTTCCTCTTCCTATCCTTACCGTGCTGCAGTCCGATGTCCAAAATAACCGGGGGTCCCAATTCCAGGTAAAAATTCTTATTTTTTTCATACTCCTCATCGTCGATGATTTTTATCTCGATGTATCTTCTAAGAGAGGGAGAAAGAAAACCGGGTCAAACTCAAACTCCAACATCGACAAAGGCAGGCAGGACAAACTCTTAAGACCTCAGCCCCCAAATGCTTCCAACTTTCTTCTACATTTTCCCGCTTTCTGGGGGGGGAAAGAAACCACAAGTTTTTCCAGTGCTTTGACTTAACGGCAAAGAACTTGCCCATCATACAAAACCACAGGTAATCTTCGACCTGCAACCATTTATTAGGTTGCGATCATTCGAAGTTACAATGGTGCTGAAACAGCAACTTAAGGGCCAGTCCTCACACTTACGACTTTGCAGCATTCACCCATGGCCATGTGATCCAAATTGAGGCAACTGGCTTGATCACCATTTGGGATCTTCCTGGCTGGCTACAGACCATCAAAGTCAGTGGGCGAAGCCAGTTTCACTTAACATGAACACAATTCACTTAACACAAACATGATTCACTTAACACAAATATGATTCACTTAACACAAGTATGATTCACGTAACACAAACACGATTCACTTAACACGAACACGATTCGCTTAACACAAACACGATTCACTTAACATGAACACAATTCACTTAACATAAACA